TGTCAATGGATGAGCTGGACTGGGTGCGTGTTGTAGACCATTCCAAGGTCCTCTGCCGCTCTTGGCAGAATCTGTACTTCACACCACAAGTTTGCAGGTAGACCGATGCTGAGCACACACACACACACACACACACACACACAAATATATAATGTTATATAATTTCCATCTGGTGTTTTTCTCTTTTGCTTCAGGTACGTTCGCATTGTGGGAACACACAACACGGTCAACAAGGTCTTCCACCTCGTGGCTTTTGAATGCATGTTCACCAACCACTCATTTACCCTGGAGGACGGACTTGTGGGTAAGTTAAATAAAAGTCTTCACTGCCCCTGTAGTTTTCAAGAGACTTCCTGTGCAGCTGTGTTGTTCTATATTAAATCTGCGCTCTGGTAAAGTGCAGAGCAGCTAATTATCTGCTGTGCAAAACAACTCTTCAAACCTGTGCTTCATGTCTGCAGTGCCCAGCGAGAATGTGGCAACCATCGCCTCCTGTGCCAGTGTCATCGAGGGTGTGAGCCGTAGCAGAAATGCCTTGCTCAACGGAGACACGCGCAACTACGACTGGGATTCTGGATACACCTGCCATCAGCTGGGCTCTGGAGCCATCGTCATCCAGCTGGCTCAGCCCTTCTCCATCGGATCCTTAAGGTAGATCTGCCCACGTTGTCAACTGGAGCAAGAAACTGTTCAAATTTACACAATTACACCAGAATCCTGGAAGGAAACATTCTGTGTGTGACATAGATTCATGGCATTGGTGGCAAATACAATTAAAATGTCACTCAGTAGAGCTCCCACCTTCACCGAGGCCCAACAGTCTCCTCATGAAACCACATTTAAATTCACTAGGTCTTGGATCTGCACCATCTCACATTCATAAATACCTGATGAAAACCTCACACTGAATGTTGGTACTTTTTAAGGTGAAGTAGAAAACGAGTCCCTGGATGTTATTAAAGCTCTTTCCTCTGTTCAGGCTGCTGCTTTGGGACTGTGACGAGCGCTCCTACAGTTACTACGTCGAAGTCTCCACCAACCAGCAGCAGTGGACGAAGGTGTTGGACCGCACCAGGGTGGCGTGTCGGTGAGGCTCCTGTTTCCTCGTCTTATTACTTCCTTTATCAGGCTTTGATTAATCCCGTGACATTAAGAGACCAGCTTTACATGATGACATTCTAAAAACATTTTGACAATGTTGTCTCGTCCAGATCATGGCAGACCTTGACGTTTGATAAGCAGCCGGCTTCCTTCATCCGTATTGTTGGGACTCATAATACTGCGAATGAGGTGAAAACACATTTGACTGTGAATGTCAGTCGTTTGTCTGTTTGTTGTTTTAATGCTACAGGAAACAAAAACATACGTTGGAGCAGAATTTAACTTTGTGCGATGTTGACTGTGAATTCTCTGCAGGTGTTCCACTGTGTTCACTTTGAGTGTCCGGCCCAGCTCGACACAGAGGTCAATGAAGGAAGTCCTGGCCTGAATTCGTCTGACTCTGACGCTGCCTCCCAGCAGCCACGACCCCAGCGACCTTCACGCACACACAGCCTGCTGCCCTCCCAGCCCTCCCAGCCCTCCTCCACCCCATCGTCGTCCTCACAGTCCCATCTCTGAGAGCGCCCTCGCCCCCTCGCTGGAGGGTGCTGAGAGGAAGGGAGACCTCAGAATGCCATTTTGCACAGCGTTCATCATCCAGACTGCACTGCTACAACGCTAATTAAGGCGATCGTCTCATTGTCATAACCTGTGGTCCCTCTGTCATAAGTGCAACATTAGACACTGGTATATCTGTAGCAGAAGCGTTTAGGGCTCCAGTCTTCCTCTTAGTTCTGAAACTGAAAGTCAGATATTTCATCCACTGGCCCGTGCATTTTTGTGAAGGTACTTTTTCAGCTACTAGAACTCAAGTTTTCTCCCGTCAAAATCAACTGTAAACTTCACTTCTCCAAAGATGAGGCACACACTGAGATGTGGTAGTACTGTACCGCCAAAGAACAGTAAGACCAGGAGGGGAAGAGCGTTGTTATCTGAATTTTACGAGTTAGTATTTCCAAAAGAAATGGATTTTATCCTTAAACAAGCTATTTTTTTAAGGAACTGTCTTAAAATGATTCTACTCACTTTTCATACCATCAAGCTAACCGAGTAGACGTCAAGTATTTTTCAAACTGTGGAGTTAAATCTCTGAAAGGTTTGCCAAAGCTGCCGAGCTAATGCTTTCTGTGGCATTTGTATGCAAATAGCACTTAATCCAATTATGCATTTGCATATTAAGTAATGGCTGTTTTAGTATTTGTCGACGGGCTTTCACACCTCAAACCAAAACCTGTGGTCCTCATCTGGTGTTGAGTTTTTTTTCTTAGTTGAAATTCATACCTCAAGAAAAAACCTTGCTAAAATTTCAAGTTGATTTAATTAAGTGTCTTAATGAAACATTTTAAGCACTTGAGTGGCTTAGCACAGATGATTGGGGAAATCAATTAGGTCAATGAATATTGGCACTGACAGGCTCGGACCAAATTACATATATGCACTAGAGCTGCCTGGAAGAAGGTTCATATACAGAAGATGCACGAGCAGCTGTCGTCGGCACTTTACTTTACTCAAGTATACAGAAATAAAGTTTGCGGCTTGGGTCCCCTGACTGAAGTACAGTTGTGGAGTGCTGGGTTTGGTTTCTTTCTATTTTATGTTAAGTTAATTTGAACACGTCCTCGCTCATGGAAGTGTCTGTTTATGTGTTTTTAAATTAAGCTATCAGTGCCGTGGTTTCCTTTGTGTCCTGATGTTGCACTTTTGAGTTGTCTCCTGTGTTTGAATCCTTTTTGTTTGATGTTAGATTATCTGAAATAGCTATCTACAGTGGGTGACACACTGATGTTTCTATAAACCCCCTTCAGTCATCCCTGTCTATGTTTTAGAAGAAGTTGAATGAAGTATTCTTTAATAAATAACCAGAGAAGTGAAATAGGACATTGTTTAGGTTACACTCCCCACCCTCCTCCTCACTTTGTGTATAGTTTTAACTAATAAATATATTTGTTTTGACCATTGATGTGCGATTGCATTTCACTGCCTCTGGTTTAAAGAACGTGGTTAGGGAAGCAGCTGACCTAGTTTCTGAATGTTCATCGCTGTTCGGTGTCTGCCTGAGTCACTGCTGTCGAAACAAAGTGAAGGTCTTTGATACGAGCAATACAGTGATTGACACCTGTTCTGTGTCGAGAGCTTCTGTTACAGAGCAACAGTTGATCAGTCGACATGTTGGTCGCCATGCTGCAGGTTGCTCTTCAGGCTATATTCATATGTAATACGACCCTTTTTTTGTTGGGATTTTTGTCATGAAACATTTAAAAAAATTTGAAGCTCAAATTGTCCTTTTTGTCTTGTTTCGTTCGCCCCATAGGAACAGAGGAGACTCTTTTAATCAGAACTCTGATTTGATTCACAAAATGAAAATATTTTTGAAAATGATATAACTAGAATGTCAAGGTCCTACAGTCCCCTGAGGAAGCCACATTTAAAGTCACCAGATCCTGATTTTTATTCGGATCTGCACCAACTCACACGAATAAACATCCGTCCCCTCAATATGTCTGATTTTTCAAATCAAGATCGACAAATTCTCTTAGAACTCCACGAAGATTTTGCCAAATACAACATGTGATCAATGTGGAGATCCAAGTGAATGCACGCGCTGAATTCAATTCAGGTTTATTTGCATGGCACCAAATCACAACACGAATGATGTCAGGGCATTTTTAAAAACATTTTATCGGGGAGAAACCTCTGGAAGTAGAGTCAGAGTTGGTGGCCATCTGCCTCCACTGGTGGTTAAAACGTTAAGAGGCCGACTTTGAACTTTTTGGTTTGAAGTCCAAAGTTGTTGGGCTGGTTCTCTGCCTGTGCTTTTATTTAGACTTTATAGAAAACTATGTTTCAGGTTCCATCGGATAGAACATGGAGCAACATCAAAGCCAACCCCTGTTTCTCGTCACATGTTTGTGGCTCCTCGGTTTCTTTGGTACAATATTGACATTAGTGCTTTGATGGACGCGTTTCCGGTCCACGGTTCCCGGAGCCCTCGACGTGTGAACAGGGGTGGTCCTGATGCGCTCGGAGGGGAAGGCCTTCCTCTATCTATTTATTTTCGCTCCTCTCTTCCCTCCCACGCATTTAACGTCGGTGAGTGTGTTCGGTGAACGTGTAGCTGGACGTTGGTGGATCTCCCGGAGCCTTTAGGTGTCGACCGAAGCACAGGGACGCCCCCGTCGCTTCGCTCGCCCGTCGAAACGTCCCAACGTCCAGCTGATCGCTTCCCCGGGACTCGTTCGATTCCTCCGCTTCAAACGCTCGGTTCCGCTCGACCGGAGGATTCCTGCGGTCCGCTCCGCCTCCAGCCCGTGGACCGTAAAACAAAGAGGACATTTATCCGTGTTTGTGGATCGTTGTCCCTCAGGGATCGACCAGGCCCCGGACTCATCCTCCAGCCTCGCGTTTCCTCATCGCTTCTTTTCTTGTGTCGGAGTCATGGGAGACACCAGCGAACGAAGCAAACCCCCGGGTCTCCCTCCCCGGTGTCCCTGCGGATTTTGGGGGTGAGTTTGAACCTCGGTTCGATGTGGACCAAACCCGGATGGGACGAGGCTCAGCGGGTCTCACCCAGTCCGAACCCATTGTTGTTGTTCTGCTGTGCAGGCCGAGGGTGGGGGGTTGGGGAGTTAGCTAATAAATAAACCTGCTAGCTTGAAAACTAGCTAAACCTCCGCCTGCTCTTCAAAGTCCACCAACGCTCTTTGGACGTGTCGAAGGCTGCGGGTGCTTGTCGCCGCAGAGACGTCGTGTTCTGGGGGGTTCGTGGACTCGGGAGGTGACGGACCCGACACGGAAAATGATTTATTACCAGCAGGTTCCTTTTAAACCTGTTTTCGTTGCCCGAGCCTCGGTGGAAGAAAAGCGACGGCTAGCACGTTAGCTTGTTTTAAACTTCCCCTCCCTCAAACAGAGCTGTGCTAATGGGCTAATGGGTTGTTTTAGGGGATTTCACACCTTTTACAGTCGGTCTGGATGTGAGTTAGAAACCGGATGTGATCCACTGATGGCCCCTGTGCAAGAACAATGTCTACATGTAAACCCTGAGTGGATTTAACAGGAAGGGTTCTCCATGACAGAGTCACTACAGGCGAAAAACATGGAACATGACAAGATTACTCATCACATTACTGAGAACCACACACACACACACACATACATATATATATATATATACACACACACATATACATACATATATATATATAACAGCAACACTCAAACATGACTGTTCCTCCTTACAGGCTCATAACGGGTGATTAAAAACATGTTCCATGATAAGATCACTGTGATCACACTTTCTTGTGATACCAGAGAGGACAAACAGGAACCAGAATTTAAAAACGTCAAAGACAAGAAGCAAATGAATACAACGTCTTTTTTAAATTTAACGAATAACAAGTTGTGTAATACAAAATCTTGAATTAAATACGTCAGGTAAATCATTTAGAATAATGTCCCACAAAGTGAAAGCCATTGTCGGTGAGTTTTCCAAATGACAATTCATACAGTTGAGTGGAAAGTCCCCCAGGGCTCTGAGTTGTGACATAAGCTTTACATCTTATATGTGAGTGAAACTAGTGAGGCATCCAAGGTATTACACTTCCTTCTATTTGCAGATGACACACACATTTTAAAATAATTTTCAACTTGAATAAAATTAGATAAATGGTTTTGGTGAATTTAAAAGAGGGATGATGAATTTAAAATCTGCAGAGTTAATGTGATATAGACACCCTGAGGTCTTGTAATACCAGCTACGAACTGCTTCACGTAGAGGAGAGAAATAATCAGGGAAATGCAAATGTTTAAAGACAAGGAGCAATGAACACAATGTCATTAAGATGGTGATACGCTACCATTGTGTGAAATACAACCTGAAGGATAACAGCGCTCCTGTTCTGAGGTATTAACAATACATATCGTTTTCATATGAACTGTCATCTGACTACCAACCCCTCCCCCAGGATCCAGCCGCCGGTTGCCTTCATTTTATGGTGTCCAGTAAGCAAAGAGGGACCAGTAACCCACCTGTCAATGTCAGGTGTCACAAATGGCAGCGGTGTTGTATGTTTACAGCCCTAACCCTGCGCTCAGAATAACACCTGGCCGGGGGGCTGCTGGCCAGCCTGTCCCACACAGGCTCCTTGCACATGTCACTGAAACTCAAGGCCTCTTAATAAGATCTTGAGTAAGGTTAGGGACAGCGTGTTGAAGGACTGGATTCAGTATTGCAGCTCTTTCCTTCCTCTGGCAGCACCAGTGACGCACATCTTCTAACACTGGATACAGTGTTTTTGTATTTTTGTTTCACAGTTATTAGTTTGCGTCGAACGTTGAAAGGACTCTAACACTGTTAAGATCAAGTGTCCACAAATCAGCTGAGAGCATGAGGGCTTTGTTACCAAAGACGACACCAGGTGATTTGATTTATTAGTTGCTCCTCTTCAAGAGAAGCTGTTTCTCATCAGTGAAGTCACCTGGATGAAACGGTAACCTGAGGAACATGAGAACTAGAACGACACTTAGTAGAGTTCATTCCTCTGCCAAGGCCTGACAGTCCCCTTATCAAACCACTTTTTTTTGATGGTCTAGTCGCACTGTGAAAACATAAACCACCATTTGAATGATTTCATTGAACCGATCTGTTTGGAGTTTCATCATCTGTCTTGCCTTTCAGTCGTCAGGTATTGAATTAGCAGTTGATTAGAATCACCTGCACAGAAACCAAACAGTCCTGTTGTAAATACAATCTTTGACTCTGTTGGATTCAACTTTCTCAATTCTTGATGCTGTGGTTAGTGGTCGTGTTACATTAGTACTGGACTGTATTGTAATTTTCAATGTTCACCCACCTTTACATTTGTTCATGCGGCGGACAGTAGAAGCACATTTTCCAAATCTGTATCTGCAGTTGTATAATTAGAGCAAAAATAAGACAATGGCAGATTTGTGTCGGCACCAAAGTCCAGTCATTCGTTTCGGTGTCTGAGTCCCGCCTCTCAACAGAGTTTCATCCATTTAGAGATATTGATATATCTTGGTGACTCACAGGTGTAATGGCTGTAATGGGTCAAAAACAACACCTCCTTGGTGAAGGTGAAAACATTCTGTGCAGGCTTGTCCTGCTGCATTAGTCACATAGCTCCTGTAGCAACAATGACATGAATACCCTACGGAGTTCCAGCGTCTATTGACTATTGACAGGACTCGCAGCTGATAGAAACGAGCCAGCCTAACGTATTGTGGCTGTATGAACATTAAAGAGAGATCCAGAAGCTGAGGGAAAGACACACCTGCAGGAAAGGTTCTGCCTACCACCAAGAAGAGCAGGAGTACATTTACAAAATACTTTGTGTTTAAGGATTAAGATTTCGGTGAAAGGATCTATAAAATAATCCTACTGATGTTTTCACTCGTGTGTCTCATCTAACTTTGACAAAATATTGTTTTCATTCCCCCGGACTGGGCCCTTTTTATTTATATACTTTATATTTACATGAGGAGTGGGTCCCCTCCCCCTCCATGGAGGCTGCCATGTTTTTCTTTCAGTAGCCAAAACGCCTTTGAGTTTTTATGACAACTGAAGCTGCCACAGGTTTTCTCTCATGTTTGGAAGGGTTGGGTGAGGGGAGGGGTGTTCAGCTGCAATAAAACTTCATTTTACAGAATATAACATTGCAGAAAACATAGATTTCACATAAAATTGTCTTAATTTCTCAAAATTGATCTGTGGATGTTAACACAATTTATTCTGTCTTCTTTCCTCAGGTCCAGTAAAACCATGAACATGT